TTCCTCAACCCGTTGGATTTTCACGGACTCGGGCAGACAGTTCCGCAGATGCTGCAGCTCTTGGTCAGTGGTGGTAGAGGAAACTAATAGACCTTTGGAGTTGCCCACCGTACATGAACCAATCAAGCTTGTGCCTCCAATCGTGCTCTTTACCACCGGGATACGGTCCGCCAACTCCGCCTCAAAGACCGAGTAAAAGTTTTCGTTCGGACCCTGAGCCACAATGCAGTAATTGTTCGTGAGCCGAGCATACACTCCAATCTCAGAGCTAGACTCGTGTTTGACACCTACCAAACGACATCGTAACTAACTGTCTGTCCACACTGTCTACGCCCCCACACACGCGTGTTTGTAACTGCACATTGTCTCCAACTGCACATTGTCTGCAACTGCACATTGTCTGTGCCGGCGCAGTCTTGAGCACCCAAGCAACAAGGAGGGAGGGTCGCGGTCAATGCGGTGCTTTCTTTGCTGCATTGTGCCTTACGTAATGTGGTCGACATTTTGGATTTATAAAAAATGTCCGCAGCGATGCGACGAAAAGAACGGCCGGGACTGACCGCGGATGAGGTTGAAGAAATACGGGAAGCGTTTAACTTGTTCGATACAAACGGATCTGGTAAGTAAAGGCAAAAATATGTCGACCAATCAGCTGGGTCCAAATAGTAGTTGGCCCAGTCCATTTAGTTAGTTGGTTGGTCCGTCCAGCCAATGTCACCCAAAGCTTGTATATCTAGGTACTGTTGACCCTCGTGAGCTGAAAGCGGCCATGCAGTCGTTGGGTTTCGAGAGCAAGAACCCGACTATTTTCAATGTCATCGCGGACTTGGAGAAGCGGAGTTCGGGTGCAATCGACTTTGAAGAATTTTTAGATGGGATTACTTCCAAGCTCGGAGATCGCGAAAGCAAGGAAGGAATTCGAAAGATCTTCATGCTTTTCGATGACGATCGCACGGGCTCTATTTCATTCAAGAATCTAAAGAGGGTTGCACAAGAACTAGGCGAGACAATGACAGATGAAGAATTGAAGGAGATGATCGAGCGGGCGGACAGCAATGGAGATGGAGAAATCAGCTTTGAGGACTTTTATGCCATTATGACGAAGAAATCATTCCCTTAAAATTGTGCAGCGATCCACTTATTTCTCCCACTTCAAAATCCAGGCGCCACGTGCTGCAAACAAACTGCTCCTCACAAATTACTGCACGCCCCGCGGCCCTGCGAGAGGTTGTCAGATAGTGGAGTTCATTCCCCGTATCAATGTAATTCTTCGGTTAAGCCAAAAAGGATTTCCCTCAAGATACAAGTGTGTGCACACACGATGCAAGTGTGTGCACACACTTTTTATTGGATATACACCGTAAAAA